TTTTTTTTTTTTTTTTTGCATAATTGTAATCAGGTGTGAGAGAATAAGAGAATATACATTTTATGAAAGCTTTAGAGGAAAAAAGTGTCATCAGGCATAAATTAGTTCTAAAAGGGAACTACTGTAAACAGGGAATTCCAAAATAGCTGATTTTCTTGAAAGCAGATCCGTCTTAAATTAATTTATTAAGCACATTCTATATTTAAACATTTGGACCAGTTCCTGGGAATTCAGTGTTGAACCTTGGCTAATAATATAGAAATCTACGTTTTGGTGGTATGTCATTATTTTCCCATTGACTTTTATAAAATTTCTGTAATCTAGTGATTATAATAGATGCAGAATTACTGGCTATTTTTATGCACTGAAAGCCTTTTATCCTCACACTAATAACTCACCTTAATTTTTCATATGCTGATAGCTGCCTCTTCTAAAGATTAGCTTTACCCTTCAAATACCCACAAATGTCATATTAATGGTTCTTGAAGCCATGTTAAAGGTGTTTTGAAGTTTCATTCTTAAGTAACTGAAGAAAAGTTTTTTGTGATTAGAGTTCACTTAGGGTGGCTGTCATGTATTTGAACTGATAGGGACATGTTTTGCCACAGCTGGTGACCGTGGCATCGTGGGAAACCTTGCCGTCTTTTCCTTATAAAAGTTAGAATTACATGGTCTCTTGAAACGCTGTTAACCATATTTGAACCAAATGCTAGTGCTCATACACCACTTGTCCTTTCTCTTTTTCCCCCCTTGTGTTGTAGACATTGCATTGTTTATACTTTTTTCTACTCAACCAATTTCTCATGCCCAAGCTGTTCTTTTTTCTTCTCTCTGTTAATACAGCATCAAATTAATAAGTTACAGTAGTCATATGTTTGAAAAAAACCAAGAAACCACATTGAGTTTTTTCCAGTAGCTTAAAGGCATTTTTCTCTAATATTACTTGTAAGCATTTATAGCATGTGTTAGAACTTCAAACAGGTGTACCTCTATAGATCAGTATATGAAAATGGTGATGAATTTTTATATTCTTTTGTAGGAAATGGGGTTCAACCTGGCCCAGAATCAAGGGGATGCCAATTTTCATATGCTGGTAGAAGCAATGGCCGGGGACCTATAAATCCACAGCTACCAGGAACAGCTAATAATCAAACAGTCATGACCACAATAAGTAATGGCAGGGACCCTCGGAGAGCCTTTAAAAGATGACCTATGCCAAATACTCACATGTAGTTTTTAAACTACGTGCCCTACTTGAACACTTATTGCACTTTTATTTATTGTTAACTGTGAAAACTGTGTTCCTTATCGGTTTCCTTTTATGTTTTTGGTTTGTTAACAAGAGTTGTTTGTTTTTATAGCAAAACTGTTAAGCTGCTCAAGCCTCCTATTGAAGAATGGGAACATGCTGAAAATTAGGGACATTTATTTCTAGAGCCAAAATGTCTTTGGATATTCTCTAAAAAACCACCCATTTCTTGGGTGAGTTACTTAAGACATCAGCATCATAGCCTCTATGAGTCTATCTTCTGTGTACATTTTATAATATTTAAAATAAGGCTTAGTGGGAGATGTTCTCTGTCTTAACGTCAGATACTGCCAACTGAAGTGATAACCACCAAAAAAACAAAAACTTAATCAGTGCTAACCATGATTTGTGAGTGAGCGTGACTCCAGGAATGATTGACTTGTTCATCGAGTGATTGTCATTAAGATTTTCCAAGGACCGAATCATTCTAAACTCTTGTTTTATTACCAAAAGACATATTCTTTACCAGAATTATAGAATAGAATGTGATCTATAGTATACCAAGGGATTTTTAGAAGGAAGCTACATTTATTTTTCTAGGGTAGTACTATCAATATTTGTTATTATCTATGTGCATTACACTGAAGGAAAATTTAAAACTGAGGCCTTGAATATTTATTTTTTGAAACTACCATGTCAAATATTAAAGTGTAATTTGAGGGAGTTATAAAGTCTAATAAACATTGATCTAATTATTGTTAAAAATTATGGGGAGTAAACATAGCGAAGGCAATTCAGTTGAATTCATGGCGAAATATACAGTCTTAAGTTACAGGGTCCTAGGCACTTGCAAAGCCCTGGAGTAAAAATCCTAGGTACTTACTTTATTTGAAGGGTGTGTGTGTGCATGTGTGTGTGGTGTGTGCATTGTCAAAGTTTATGAACAGAATTTACAAAGCCTTATCAGCAAATTTAAGAAATGGCTCTCTCTCAAGCGAATACAGCTTTATTCAGAAATGTAAAAGAAGAGTTTATTTATGTGCTGTAAATGGTCCCTAGTTCCACTTTTTATTGTAGGGTGGATAACTGGGAAAATTTTCCTTTGTTAGAATTCAACTCTTTTTATTATCTCTTGAATAAAAACTTGCATTAATGTTAACAGACCTACCTTATTTTTGCTCTTTCAGTGGCTTAGAGTGGAGAGCCAGTACGTTTTACTGTAGCTGTAATGATGACTTCAACCTGTTGCCTACTTGGCTTTGCATTTGTTGTTTTGTCCTCAAATCACAAAGTAATTGAAGTAGATTTGTCTTCTGAACAAACTTGTTTTCTGAACAACTTTCCATAGTGTTTGAATATAAAATTTGTACCAGAGTATTTATTTGCTCTAATTCAGTGTATCTAACAAATATTTCAGTACATACTGTGTATTAGGCACTGTGAGGAGCTTATTTATGGTTTATATTCAGGGTGGGGCAAAAGTAGGTTTATAGTTGTGAGTACTCAGAACAGTTTATTACTCTTTATTATTGTATTATTTTCCATATGAGCAACTATAAATGTACTTTTGCCCCCCCATATTGTAGAAAGAAGTTTTCCCTTTATATACTGATGATTATAGTGAATATGACTTTATGACTGATATTTTCTTAAGATGTTCAAAAAATTATAGATATTTGGAGTAAAGAAAAATATTACAAGTTAGTACATAATTTTTTTCTTTTAAATCAAGTAGTGGTAGGAGCAATAACACTAAGTTATTTGTGGGAGAATATCATGGTAAGGTGATCTTAAAAAAGAATTTTGGAGTTTTGGAAAATTAAAATAGTGTAGATTGCTGAACTTCCAGTTCTGGCCTCGTTGTATCTCCTCACTTGTCGTGTTGGGCAAGTTATATTTGAAACCTCTGTAAGCCTTAGGTTCCACAAGTATAAAAACAAGTAAGTGATATTCTTTGTAGAGTTATTTAAGATTTTCCATGTAAACGATTAGAATGATTTCTGGCACATAAGCCATGAAATATTTGTTGTTTGATTAAAGGCATCTTCAGTATGCCTCAAGAAGAGTGAAAATGCAGGGTTAGGTGTGGAAATTATTGATACCCTTTAACATGTTGAGATTAAATAGAGAAAGACCTCTGCCTGTACTTTTGTAACTGACACGTGACTTAATAATCTAAACTTGTTCTGTGTTTTTTGTCATTTATTAACAAATTTCTTTTTTCTTAAGGGAAGCCTCTAAAACCAAAGCAAAGCGAGTTATAATCCATAATGAATATTTGCCTTACCAGTCTGCTTGGACAGTGCTCAGCAAGAAGAGGAAGAAAGTGTCCTACCTTCCTCCTTCCTGGTGCTTTCAGCTTTCAACTTAATTTTAAATAAGTTTAAACACACTGAAAACAAAAACCATTTGGTATAGAAATACATACTCCTGGGATTGGGTCCCATTTTATTTCTACAAAACAGTTCTAAAGTAGATGAAGTCTCATCAGCCAGCTGTCCTGTCCTGTCTGGTCAGGTCTGGGAATTGCTATAGTACAGAAGTAGAAAGATGAAACCCATAAGGCCGGGTGATACGCCATTAGTGCCATATGCTTCCCCACCGACATTAAACAGGTTTCCCTATAGTATACCAACCCTTAAGCTTTGTTCCTGCAGTTTCAGTAATTCTATTTTGAATATGAGGACAGTTTAATTTGAAGATATCCTGAATATTTGTAGTACTATTTGCCACTTGTATTTTTATCATTTAACTTTTAAAAGAATTTAATTTGCTTGGTTATGTGGTCAAAAGAATTGATGGCTGAAAACAGATGTGAGGTTAGTAAAGAAATTATAATTTATGATATGAGAGTGTTTAAAGTATAGGAAGGTGGAACTAGCCATAAAAAGTGTCCTTAGAAGGTACAAATTGAGAGTGTTTTACATCAGTCAGAAGACAGACAGTTTTTGAAGTTCATATAGATCTGACATTCCAGTTTAGTTACTGAAGTGACTTCCTTTTCTGTATCATTAAGGTAATGACTGCTCTGAGCAGTTTTAGGTTGCCACTATTCTTAAGATTTTTTAAAGTATTTGGGAAGGTTCTAGAGACAACAAACCTGAAAACTGTGGAAACAGGATCAACACGGAACACTTCTCCAAACTGAAATCTGTTTTTTACTTCTAGGTCATTCTTGGGATTATGTGCCCTATGATAGCCCTTTTGTTTTTTAAATCTATTTTCCCTGCTCTTTGTTTTATCCCCTATCTGATAAGAGTCTGAACCGTGGTTAGTACATAAGAGAGTCACAGTTGTTCCCTACTGTGGGCTCTGTGATGGGTAAAGGCAGGTGTACTTGGCCATGATGCATCTGTGTATTGAGTCTTCTAAATGTTGGGGTAATTGAACAGTCCCACAGTTCACAAAGTGGTTTATAATGATTAACATTAAGGTATGCTTCTGAGGAAATCTAATTGTGACCTTTGAAATACAGCACTATCATCATGTTAGGCCCTGAGGGAGAAGCTAGAAAGACAATTGACTTTCCAGGTATATTCAACTTTCCTCCATAGTCCTTGAAGTTTGCTTTATTAGGGATGCACCAGAGTTTATATTCAAATACTGTAACCAAATTACTTCAGGTTTCTGAGCTAAAAGGGTCTAATGTTGATTTCTTAAAGCACAGATCACAGAATAAGGAACAGACCAGAGAAAAAACCAGACTATCTGACAAAGCCATTTATTTCACATTTTTTCTCATTAAGAACATAAGAGCCATGCACCACTCTGAGATAACATGTGATGTAAAGACAGTGAACATTTTAACAAGTTCAACTACTAGACATTTCATTTAAGTCTTGAAAGGCCTTGATAAGGAACCCACAATTTTATTGTGGCTCCCCAGGTTTTAAGAACATGCCAACCCAAAGCTTGGTGACTAGCTGTTGCAATATAGTAGAGCCCAGATATCTGGAGACACTGGGTTGAACCTAGAGTCCTCCTCATTACACTGTACTTGTCTAATGGAAGGGCTGTTAACATCTTTAAAAACCAATTCTTTACCCACTTCGTAAATACAAGTAAGTTGTTTTACTCCATCAACATTTATGCTCCTAGGCATAAAAGAGTTCAGTTATCTTGGTCCATACATTAACTGTTAAATTCAAAGAATGATTACATACCACCTATATGAGATTCTCCCCCCAGGAACTTGGTAGAAGTATGAAATGGCTCTGCTATTTCAGAAATAAGTTTTAAGTGTAGGACTGTGAGGGCTGCACTTGAAAGAAAGGTTGAAAGAAAGAATTTTGTCTCCTGCCCTTGACATTTCCCCTTAGCACAGAAATAACTATTTTGAAGCATATATATAGCTCTTCAGTTTTTACCTTTGTGAGGCTAGATATACCAAAGTTCTAGATTGTAAAACATGAAAAGTTGTGCTTAAAAGCATGTGCCTCCAAAGGGCAGGATTGAGGGATAATGCAGGGTAGTCCCAAGCAGAGTAGAAATTGAGTATGGCGTCTGGATGTGAATACTGTGAGTTTGAATTAGGTTCAAATAGAATTATTTAAATTGTATCAATGTTGAGATCAGGTTATAGTGGAGTCACCCGGGCTTCACCTGGGCCTATATAGATCAAAGTAAAAAAGTTCACACTAGGTTTCTGTTAAAAAAGATTTTATTGTTGCTTATCTCAACGATTATGTTTACAGCATTGCCTGCCTATCTCCTCTGCCCCCAAAGCTCCCTTCTGTTCCCTGCTTTAGTATGTGGAGAGAGGCTGGTCAGATTGGAAAGCGGTTGGGGCCTCTCCCTCAGGAGCGCCCCCACGCCTTCCTGGCCTCCTTCTCCCCAGGCATGTGAACTTGATCCCCTCTCCTAAGCCCAAGGAGCCCTTCATTTGCCTCTGCAACTTGTTTTCTTCTATAGCTCACTTGTGCTTCTGTGGGAAAAAAGTAGTTGGGTTGGAGGTATGATGAACATTGCTGAGAACCTACCTCTTACAGATCTTAATCGTGTTCTGTACAGAGGGGCAGCTGCAATAAATATTCTCCACAAACAAGTAATAGGCATGATTTGACTGCCATATGGGACTAGGTTTGTTTCAAATATTTATAAATCAAGTAGGATACTAAGACCTCTGACCTAAGTCACTGGACTACTTAAGATAGAAAACAAAAACTGGGTTGCCAGCACAACTAGTGCCACCTACTGGGTGACTACTATATAGTTTCTGTAGTCTAGGGATCTGGGTTAATGAGAGATTTCAATATTCCACTGGATAAGAATTTTTGCTGATGGTTTAAGCATGATGTGGAAAATCATTACAGGGTAGTTGGGCCATCTGTTACTAATTCCTGAACAAGCAACATGGTGACATCAAAAGTAAATTCCCCTCAGTTAAGCAGGTTTATTTTAATTGATTTTAGAGAGAGAAACATCGATTTGTTGTTCTACTTATTTATGCATTCATTGATTGATTCTTTTATGTGCCCTGACCAGGGACCAAACACACAACCTTGGCACACCAGGATGATGCCCTAACCAACTGAGCTACCTGGCCAGTAAGCAGGTTTTTTAAACCCTGAACTGCCCCTTACACTACTGAAAATGGGGAAAGTTGTGAAATGTATTTCTTGTTACGTTTGTCAATACTACTTGTGGAAAGTATAAACTTAGGAACACCTTTTGGTGGGGAGAGGTTTGGTAAAAATTGTTGGAATAGGACAGGAAACTTGCCCTTATAAATTTTACTCCTTTAACTGGTATTTTGTAAAATTCTGGCTCAAGGACTGCTGCTGTTATATTAGCTTTGCAGACCATAAGCTGTTTTAAATGTCAGACATGTGCTCTGGTGAAAACATGGTTTTGAACCAATGAGATCTTCGTTTGAGTCCTGGACCTATTATTTATTGACCATGAGCCTCGTTAGAGCGATGGAGATACATACTTGCAGGCCTATGAGGACTCTGACTATACTTTTTTTTATATACATCACACATGCATCTCATTCGTTAATCCATTTTTTTGGATTAGGTTTTTTGAATTTATTGGGTTGACATCGGTTAATAAAATTATGTAGGCATACAATATTACAGCACATCAGCTGTACATCATGTGTTCACCACCCCAAGCTGAGTCTCCATCCATCGCCATTTATCCCCCCATGCCCTCTTCCACCTTTCTCACCCCCTCCCTCTGGCAGTCAGCCTACTGTTGTCTGTCCAGGGGCCTCTTAATTCCTTCACTCATCTCACCCGCCCCACCCTCCTGCCCCCTGAGAGCTGTCTTTCTGTTCTTTGTATTCATGAGCCTGTCTCCACTTTGTTAGCTTAT